TAGGTCTTGCCGGCTCCATACTCAGTAGATTCCCTTTTCCAACATGGTACCCCTTTTCAATTTTGTTTCCTAATCGTAAGGAGGCCTATGTCTCATAAGGATTAGGTAGTTTAATTTAGAATTTTACAAATACCAAAGTTTGTAAAAACTGTAAATATGTCAAAATAGATCTTCCCACTTTTCTAAATCCTGAGAGGAAAAATATTCTTAAATCATATGATAATTCGATTTATACAATTACTCCTTAATATAAACATCATTGGTGTTTTGGTTGAATTTTTTTCCTCTCTTCAGGATAAAAAAACATTTTGCTAACGAATACAGATTGCCCTAAAAGTCCTAGTGAAGTATTAAGCTTCAAGCTTAAAAATCTTAAATACATTAATTTACATCATTGATTTAAGCTTGAAACTTAGAGCTACACTAAGACTTTTTGGGACACCCTGCATTGATTATTATCTTTTTAAAGTATGATTTTTTTTTGCCCTAATATCTTTATAACTTACAATCTAAACATCTTATTTTAACTCCTGAGCACAAAAATGGCTTTCTTCTGGTCTTTGTAATTTTTTGCTGTAAATAGTTAAAAACAAATCTTGTGTGTGTCTCTTGTTGGTGACCTGGAACTAGTTGAAATGTAAGTGCTTCATAAAACATCTTAACTACAGATATTATCTTGGTTTTTGTGAAGCATGAAATAGTTCAGTTTATTGACTGATTGTTGTGTCACTAGAGAGAAATGAATTTTCACCGTGTGTGTTTTATTGTATCTTTTCAGTGGATTCAGCATTAAAATAAATAATGTTATAATGGGAGAAGATATAGCTTGATGATTTGACTAGAGGAGAGGGAGTCAAGAACTCTGGGTTGTAATAGAATCAAAACCCCTGACTTCCTCTGCGGCCTTGGCTAAAGCACTTAACCTTTCTCTGCCAACATTTTCTCATCTGCATGATAGGGTTAAGAACATTGACCTGTTTTTACTAGAGTGGAGTCAGAAATAGTATTTGCCCAGTGCTTTGAGATTCTTAGATGGCTGATGTCAGAAAGGAAAATATTATTACCGTTATCATTGTTTAGTCTCATAAATACATTCTTGTCAATAGGGTACTTCCATTGATACTAGCCTCTTGTTATTACCTCCATTTCTCCCCACTAACCTTTATCTCCTAAGCAAAACAATCTGGAAGGATGTTGTTATAGGTATTTTAAAATCAAGTACCCTTTTTTTTTATAAACTGCCTCTCATTGGCCTCCAAGCTATTTTCCTTTAAATGAAAGAAAGGCTTTTTATTAATTTATCGATTTTATCAATTCTACATATTTTCTTATTACTCTGATTTTTTTGCTTTTGTTTGGTGGAGGGACCATATGATGAAAAAGTTTAGAAGCCACTGAATGAGAGATTTGTTGCTGCTAAAAGATTGGTTTCCCCTCTTTTTTAGTCCAGAAAACTGTGGAAATTACAAGAAGTATTAGACATTACTGTCAATTAACATACCTTCTTCCAGGTCAGGGGAGAGAAAGCAAGCAAAAATGAATGAACAAATGAATGAAAAAGCATTTGTTAAGCACTATGTACCCAGCACTGGGTACAAGAACTTTGCAAACTTCTGGGATATCCTGTGTAAATGCTAGCTATTAATAAATACTAGCCATTACTCAAAAAATCCATCTCACTATCGTGACATAGTGCCTCAAATTTCGCTAATTAGAGATTCATTTCTTTGGTTTTTTGTTTTTTTTTTGCTAGGCAATGGGGTTAAGTGACTTGCCCAGGGTCACACAGCTAGTAAGTGTCAAGTGTCTGAGGCCGGATTTGAACTCAGGTCCTCCTGACTCCAGGGCTGGTGCTCTATGCACTGCGCCACCTAGCTGCCCCAAGAGATTCACTTCTTTGGGAGAAGGCTCCATGTTTAACCTCATGTTTAACTATCTAGCCTAAAAAAGAATATGTAATATTCTACTATGAGGAAACGAAACTTGATTTTATTTTACCTGAATAATAGAGTCACTATTCCAGTACAACCTTTTAGTACCTGAAGGAATGTAATAGGTTCCTGCTGATCACATGCAGACTTTGAGATGTGATTTTGTGATCTGTGATTTTGCTGAGATTGGTTCTTCCTTCATTGACATAGCTCACCACCTCTCTATGACTTAGGGAATTGTTTTTGAAAGTTACTGTGGCTGCCAAATTCATCACCCTTTGGCCCAACCAGTGCTGAGTCTCTCTGAGCTAAGCAGGACTGGTCTTGGATGACAAGCGTACAGTTAATCTCTAGGCTATTCCTCAGAGCCTTTCTACTAGGCTTCATTCTCTACCACCATAGTCTTTGAGAACCCAGGGTCACCTTCATCCCACAATGAGGCATCAGAATGGGACTCTGGTGAATTATTTTTTGAGGGTTACTATGGTTGTGTAAATGCATGTGTTTATATGTGTTTGTGTGTATGTTGTGTAGTTTCACTGAAAAGATAGATACCTTGAGCATGTATCTGGCTCCTCAAGGCTCTCTTATGGTTTGATCTCTAATTGTAAAAAGATAGTGGAAATTTCCATTCAGCCCTGTAAATCTTCATTTTGATGCCAGTAAATTGTAAGCTCCTTGAAAGCAAAGATTGTTTGTGCCTTTCTTTGTATCCCCAGCGCTTAAGCTCTAGTAGGTACTTAATAAATGCTTGTTTATGATTTGATGTTGCCATTCTTTACAAATTCTGAGCCTAGGAGTCATACCATGAAGATCAAATTAACTTTGGCCACTAGAGGGCAATATTTATTAATGAAACACTTGTACTGTGGCTGGCTTATTTAAAGGCATGCTAAACATCTTAATTATTTTCTACTAATTTAAAAATCAAAAGAACTATCTTATCCCTTCTACTCTGTTTCTTCCTTGTTCCTTTTCTCCCTCCTTTACTTTTATAAAAGTGTTAACAGAGCATCTAAAAACCTCCTTCACTATCCTGACATCTTTTTCTAATTTTTCTTTTTTAAGAGAATTTTATTTTACATCTGTTGAGTTTTGTTAGGAAATAACGACATTATGTGTTTTTCAACTTGGTGGTCACAGTCTTTGGAGTTAGAGTAAATGGTATGGGAGACAGAGACATTGACACATGTGACACGGTTACTAATAATGATGATGAGAGCTAACATTTATATAGTGCTTGGGCGACTAGGTGTCACAGTGGCTAGAGGACTGGGCTTGGAATCAGGAAAGACTCATTTTTTAAGTTAATTTATTTTGAATTATCAACAGTCACTTCCATAAGCTTTTGAGTTTTAAATTTTTCTCTCTTTCCTCCCCCACCTCCCTCCCGAAGACAGTGCACAATCTGATATACATATACATTCTTATTAAACGTATTTTCACATTAGTGATGTTGTAAGTAAGGATTAGAACCAATAGGGGGAACCACCAGAAAGAGGAAACAAAACACAACAGAAGAAAAAAAAAAGCAAATAGTATGCTTTGATCTGCATTCAAACTCCATAGTTCTTTCTTCTTTGTGGATAGCATTTTCCATCATGAGGCCTTTGGAGATGTCTTAGATTCTTGTATTGCTGAGAAGGGTTAAGTCTATCAGTATTAAAGACTCATCTTCTTGAGTTTAAATATGGCCTCAGACACTTATTAGCTATCTGGGCTCAGACACTTACTAGCTATTGGGCAAATCACTTAACCCTTTTTGCCTCAGTTTCCTCATCTGTAAAATGAGCTGGAGAAGGAAATGGCACATCACTCCAGTAGTTTTACCAAGAAAATCCCAAAAGAGGCCCACAAAGAGTTGGAAACAACTGAACAACAACATGTAGTGCTTATTATGTGCTAGGCACTGAGCTAAGCACTTTACAATGACTGTTTCATTTGATCCTCACAACAACTCTGGGAGGTAGGTGTTATTATTATCCTGACGTTACAAATGAATCATGAAGAATCATAGATCTTCGAACTGGATGGAAACATAAAGACCAATCAAAGTCCAGCCCCTTAATTTTACAAATGAAGAAACTGATATGTCTAGCATGATGTTCTAGCATGATGTTAGGGTTAAACTCTCTTTGTGATAACCAAAAATCTATTCCTCCCTAAAGTTTTAGGCCAACAAAACTGTTCTTGAAAAAGTGGTCCTTTTATCTTGAAAAGGTTGAGAGGGACACAATAATGGGCGTTAAATCAGTACTCTACTCTCCCTGGCCTCTAGAGCAAGTTTCTGGAATAAGCAGAACAAGAATGAAATGTGTTTTATTTATTTTAGAATGATTGTCCCCTAGACAGTCTTACCAGGCAGAGCCTTGTTTTTGTGAGGATCCCCGGGGGATGGCAGCTCCAAAGGTCTACTCATGCACATCAGAACCATATGAGTATTAAAATGCAGACCACTCAGCTGAACAATAGAGCAGCTGAAGACAATGGTTCATGTTTTAAAGGGATCAGAAATTCTGATAACACATCATTCTAGCGTCAGATGGATTAAATTTTCTGGTGGCAGAGTAGTCTGAAGGCTGTGAGATTGTAATGGGGTAAGGCCAGTATAAACACATTAAAAATAGCTGTCATTTGGATGACAGTATGCCCCGATTAGCAGCAGTCTCTAGGCCTCTTATTTTTACTCAAAGAATAAATCTGTTATAAGCTCATCTACTGAATTAGGATCTACGAGCCTCTTAATAGGATTTTTGAGAGGGAGTGGAAAATTTACAATGCCTCATAAATAGCCTGACATACAAGTTAAGATCGATAGAGGCCTAGCTATACACCTGTCAGCTATAAACCCTCAAAAACCCATCAGTGATTTCAGACCCACTGTCACAATAGAGCCCATAGGCAGCAATCACATCTTCATCCAATATCATCATGTACCAAAGGTCATGCTTCTTGGCTATTGTCTGCTTCTTGTTTTGTGGGATTACATAGTTCCACGTACCTTTTGGGCATTTAATAAATACTAATTAGATTGAAATTCTGATTGGTGTTTCTCCATTGGACCTTCAGGTAGAAGAAGAAGAACCTACTGGATACATTCGCTTAGAAAAATTTCTTCCAATGATGGTTAAAGTGCTCTTGGAAAGAAGGTAAATGGACTAATAGAATTGTTCAGACAAGATATGATTGGGATTCTGTTGATTTCAGATGAAGACTCTTGGTATATGAAGTTAGCTCTAAGTTATTTTTCCATTTTATAAACTACTCACAGCAAATATTTAGCCCTAGACTCATTTCCCCGAGCCTCTCTCCATACTTCTGGATTAACCTTGCCCCACTGTCATTTGGTATGTGCTTAGGAATGCAAACTCATTTGTGTATCTGCCTAAGCATAGCACCACTGGAGAGATGAATGGGCTGCCAAAATCATCATTATTTCAGAGTTAAATATAAATGCTTTTTATTGGGTGTTTGGTTTCTTCATAATGATACTCTCTTCCACGAACACATTTAATCAAGAATTAACTTGCAAAGTTTAAATTATTTTAGCTAGGTAACTAGGAGCCTAGTTAGGCTGTGGTAGGGTGATCACAGAAAAAAGGAAATTTGCTGTGGCAGTCAGCAGGTAAATATTTCAGGGTAATTCACAAAGGACTGCATGTAGTTTGATTTGAAATCCAATAAAGATAGAAACTAAAATAATTGTTCCAGTGATTGTGGGCCTGTTTTTTCTTCCAGAAGGCTTTGTGCTAAACTTATCTTCTTGCTAGAGATACTTACCAACTATATTTATGTTCAATATAAGCTAAGATAAAAGCAAAATCTATAAAATGCCGGATTGGCCTTGGTGGCCTCTAAGGGCCTTTCCAGCTCTAAATCTATGAAATCTTTATGTGTAAGGTGTGAAGGTGTTTGAGGAATGCCCCTCTATCCTTCAGACTGTTAAAAAGAGAAAGAGAATTTTTAGATAGGGTAGAAAAGTATGATATGAAGGAAGCCTAGAAGAAAAATCTTCTGAGGAGTTGGGGAAAAATTGGACTTGGGGTCAGGAGGTTGGAAAGTGGAAAATATGGCACAAAGGGGAGAGAGGGAGGAAAAGAAATTCTGAATCACTAGTAATCTATAGCCTATATGAGGCCTTTCCTGTCCATAGATTAATCCAGGTGTCCTGGAGAAAGAAAACATGATAAAGAGGATCTATAGCTAATATGAGAGATGCTGGTAGTGGCCCCATGAAGATGTGTATCATGGCGCTTGGAGCCTCTGTGCTGAGGAGTACAGAGAGGGGCCTAGAAAGGCTGAACGTGGCCAAAAGGGACAGATGCCATTTTTTCAAGAGCGTGTATCTGAAACATGGGGGAGAATCTGTCAAAATTAAACCACTTCTGTCTATCATTATTGGGAATGAATGCTCATACTGGAAGAAAACTAGGCTTTATCTTTTATACTTTGAAGTTCTCCTATCTCATATCACTTGCTTACCACCTCCACCACAATCAACATATCCAAAATGGGACTCACTGCATTTTTCACCGAACCCATCCCTTCTCCAAACTTCAACCCTTTCTGTTTCTGGTACTACCCTCCTTATAGCTCCCCAGGTTTTCAAACCTGGAATTATCTTAGGTCTCTCTTTCTTTTCTCTCAAGCCCCATAGCCAATCAATTGCCATGGCTTATTCATCCCACTTCCCCAGTTTTTCTTATAGCTTTCCCCTTTTCTATACTTATTCAGCCTCTACTCTATTTCTTCTCACCTGAACTGTTGCAATAAAGTCCTAATTGGCCTCTTTGCCTATCATTTCCTTCTGCCTCAAGCCATCCTCAACTTATTCTTGGCAATGGGTGCAGTTAGTGATGATTAGCACCTCTATTGCCCATTTACAGTTCTGGGTTGCAGTTCCAGGGTAGAGAGGAGTGCTAGTGGTTGGTCACGAGGAAGCAAAGGCCCTGGTCACAGTTCTAAGGCAGAGGAGACCACTAGTGCTTGTGGCTGTAGGGAAGCAGGATCCTTTCCTGTGTAAAGACAAGAATACAGACCAAGACAGCAGTGATCACATGTCTTCCTGGATCACACCCCCTTGGAAGCACCAAAAATGTGCAGACACTCAGAACGAGATCTAAAAACAGCAGCACAAAAAAGCTTGAGGCTTAGCACAGTGCCTCTTCACCCCAAGGTGAGCAGACCCCGACTTTAACATAAAGTTCAAAGTCAAGGAATAAGGTGGAAGAATGAGCAAACAACACAAAAAGAACTTAACCATAAAAAGCTACTGTGGTGGCAGGGAAGACCAAGACATGAACTCAGAAGACAACAATGTGAAAACAGCTACAACCAAAAGCCTCAAAGAAAAAGGTTAATTGGACCCAGCCTCAACAAGACTTCCTTGGAGAGTTACAGAAAGAGATGAGAGTGATAAAGGAAAACTTGGGAAAAGAAAGGAGAGTGATACAAGAAAATTACGAAAAGACAATTAGCAGCTTGGCTAAAGAGGCACAAAAAAATGTTGAAGAAAATAGCGCCTTAAAGAACAGAATTGATCTTTTGGTAAAAGAAGCATAAAAATTCACTGAAGAAAAGAACTCCTTAAAAGCCGGAATTGGCCAAATGGAAAAAGAGGTACAAAACCTCACTGAAGAAAGTAATCCCTTAAAAATTAATATTGGGCAAGTGGAAGCTAATGTCCACGAGACATCAAGAAACAATAAAACAAAGTCAAAAGAATGAAAAAATAGAGGAAAATGTAAAATATCTCATCAGAAAAACAACTAAACTGGAAAATGGAGAGATAATTTAAGAATTGTTGGACCATCTTTAAGCCATGATCAAAAAAAGAACCTAGACATAATATTTCAGAAATTATAAATGAAAACTGCCCCAGTATCTTAGATACAGAGGATAAAATAGAAATTGAAAGAATCTACCAATAACCTCCTGAAAGAAATCCCCAAATGAAAATACCCAGGAATATTATAGTCAAATTCCAAAGTTCCAAAGCCAAGGAGAAAATATTGCAAGCATCCAGAAACAAACAATTCACATATCACAGAGCCACAGTCAAGATCACACAAGACCTAGCAATTTCTGTGTTAAAAGAATGGAGGGGGGCAGCTAGGTGGCACAGTGGGTAGAGCACCGGCCCTGAAGTCAAGAGGACTTGAGTTCAAATCCGGCCTCAGACCACACACTTAACACTTACTAGCTGTGTGACCCTGGGCAAGTCACTTAACCCCAAGTGCCAAAAAAAAAAAAAAAGAAAGAAAGAAAAATAAGTAAAAAAAAAGAATGGAGGGCTTGGAATATGATATTCTAGAAGGCAAGGAGCTAGGATTATAACCAAAAATAATCTATCCAGCAAAACTGAGTATAATCCTTCAGAGAAAAATGAAATAGAGGACTTTCAAGCATTTCTGATGAAAAGACCAGAGCTGAATAGAAAATCTGACATTCAAAAATAAAACTCAAGAGAAGCATGAAAAGGTAAACATGAAAAAATAATCATAAGGAACTCAATAAAGTTAAATTGCTTACGTCCTTATATGGTAAATGACATTTGTAACTCCTAAGAACTTTATCATTATTAGTGCAGTTTGAAGGAGTCTACATAGACAGAGGGTATGAAAGTAAGTCATTTATATTGGGGTGATCACTGAACAAAATGAAAGGGTGAGAAGGAGGGATGTATTGGGAGAAGGGAGAGGTAGAATAGGGAAAATTTTCTCATATTAAAGAGGTGCCCATATTAAAGAGGTTGAATCTCACTTTCATCAGAATTGGTTCAAAGAGGGAAGAATATCTACACACACTGCTGTGAGTGAAATTCAGCAGAAAAGTAGACTGAGGTGCTTTCTCTCTGAGCACAGTAACATTTGATTCATAGAGCATGGACCTGAGCATAAGATGGGACAATGGCTGCCTCAGTTTCTAATCAAAGACCTAAAGCAAAAGGACAGCTCCCCTTCTATAGGTTTTTGGGGAGCACGGAACAAAGAATAGAACAGGGTAGGTGACATCATGGGGTTGAGGGCATCATGACTGGTTCCATAGCTGGAGGTGTGGGGACAATATGATTGGCAGGAAGTAGGGAATGAAGGACTAGTAATAAACCCTCTGCTTTCCTCCTGTGGCTAATGTTCATTGTTCAGGTCGACCTGCAAGGTCAGATTCCTTTGGATCGTAAACCAGATATCCTTGAAGAATAGCTTGGTGGTGTAAAGATACAAGACCCGACTCCCTTGTGCCAGCCTGGATCCCCCAAGGATAGCAGAATTCCTTGAGGCAAGAATAAAACAGTGATTAGCAAGAGAACTGGATTACATTACTTAACCGTTATAGGGCGGCTGAATTCTGAACTAAGTTCAGAAACAGAAAACCATGACTTAAGCATTTATAAGATAAACTCAATTAATTGTGGGTAGGATCAATAAAAAATGATACAGAATCAATTTTTATCTTCTCAATACTCAGTTGGGTATAGAAACCTATCTTACCCAACAGGGAAATAGGAGGGGAAGGGGATAAGATATATGGTGGGGGGAATTAAAGGGAGGGCAGATCAAGGGAGGCAACTGGTTAGATGCAAAATAAATTTTTGAGGAGGGATGGGATAAAAAGAAAGAGAAGGATAAACAGAAGAAAATTGGATGGAGAGAAATACACAGTAATCATAACTCTGAATGTGAACAGGATAAGCTCACCCATAAACAGCAAAATGGATTAGAAACCATAATCCAACAATGTGTTATTTACAACACACTTGAAACAGAAAGATATATACAGAATTAAAATAAAGGACTGGAGCAGAATCTATTATGCTTCAGCTGAAGTAAAAAAGACAGGGGTAACAGTCATGATCACAGACAAAACAAAAGCAAAAATAGACCTAATTGAAAGAGATAATCAGGGAAAACTACATTTTGCTAAAAGGCACCGTAGACAATTAAGAATTATCAAAACTTTTTACAGTAAATTTCTCTGATAAAGGCCTCATTTCTCCAAGTATATAGGAAACTGAGTTAAATTTATAAAAACAAGAGCCATTTCCCAGTGCATAAATGGTCAAAAGATATAAACGGGCAGTTTTTAGAAGAAGAAATCAAAGCTATCTATAATCCTATTGAAAAATGATCTAAATCACTATTGATAAGCGAAATGCAAATTAAAACAACTCTGAGATACCACCTCACACCTATCAGAAATGACAAATACTGGTAGGTTAATAAACTGTGGGTGGAGTTATGAACTGGTCCAATTATTTTGGAAAACAATTTGGAACTGTGCCCAAAGGGCTATAAAGCTCTGCATACCCTTTGACCCAGCAATACCACCACTAGGTCTGTTCCCCAAAGTGATCAGAGAAAAAGGAAAAGGACTGATATTTACAAAAATATTTATAGCAACTCTTTTTGTGGTGGCAAGGAATTGGAAATTGACGGGATGTTCATCAGTTGGGAAATGGTTGAGTAAGTTGTGACATATGATTATCATGGAGTATTATTGTGCTATAAGAAATGGCAATGGGAGATGGTGTCATAAGAAATATGACAAGACCTATATGGACTGATGCAAAGAGAAGTGAGAAGAACCGAGAGATCATTTTGCACAGTAATAGCAATGTTTTCATGATGATCAACTGTGAGACTTGGCTACTCGGATTAATACAGTAATCCAAGACAATTCCAAAGGACCCATGATGAAAAACTGCTATTCATCTCCAGAGAGAGAACTAATGAACTCTGAGTGCAAATTGAAGTATAATATTCTCTCTCTGTCTCTCTGTCTCTCTATCTCTGTCTCTATCTCCTTTCTTTCTTGCAGTATAACTCATGTGGGAATATGTTTTGCATGATTTCATATGTATAATTAATACAGTGCTTGTCTTCTCAGTGGGTGGGGAAGGGGTGGGAGGGAAAGGGAATGTGGAACTCAAAACTTCAAAAGGAAAGAATGTTAAAAATAAACAATAAATTTGTTAAAAATTAAAAAAAGAAATTATTTATTACCTTGTATATATTTTATATTGCTTACTTGCTTGCATATTATATGTGCCCCACCCCTCTGTAAAATGTAAACTACATGAAAGCAGAGATTCTTTTGCTTTTTCTCCTGGGCATCTAACATAGTACCCTGCTCATTTGCTGAATTAAATAGAATTAGGCAAGATACTGAAGGATCCGAGGGGCAGGGATGTAGTTTTCATTTTTTCCTCTAACATTCATATTGAGCTTTAAGCTTTACAAAGTACTTTATGTATCATGCCTTATTTGATTTTCACAGCAAGCCTGGGAGGTAGGTACCATCATTATTCTCATTTTACAGCTCAGGAAACTTAGGTTGAGAGAGGTCAAATGCAGGTTCATGCAGTTAGGAGGTGTCTGGGGTAGGATTCAAACTCGTCTCCTGAATCTGTATCTAACTAGCCCACTATCCACTAGGCCAATTTGCCTCCCAATAATAGAAGATGTAGATTTCAGGAAAGAAGGAACATAGGGGAAGTAAAAATATGAATAAGAAGATCTGATTGAATAGAGGATGTCAAAGAACAGGGTTTAGTTATCTGAGCTATGCCTTAAAATATTGGAACGATAGATTCCTTTCTAGGGACTAAATGTATCTCGTGAGTAATGGGATGAATGCGTTGGCCAGACTTGTGAATGTGATCAAGGGGATTTTAACCTAAAAATGGAGGCTGCGGGAAAACGATTTCTAGATAAAACTGTAAGATTAGATATGTTGAAATATGAGGACTACATCACAATTGGTAATACATGGATATGACATTACCTGAAGAATAATACTGAAGGAGATACCCAGTAATTCATGGGAGAAAATTAATTGTAAAGAGGTTCACAAACATTAACCATGGTCCCAGTTGTGTGGGACATAGGTAATAAAATTAACTTGAAATTTTAACATAAAGAGAAAAATGCAACCTCCCTGGACTCTTTTATGAGGAGGTGAGTTGTCTGCCACTTGTCACTGTGTTTAAAAAGTGGTAGAATGGCCATCCATTAGGACAGGGCTTCTTAAACTTTTTCCACTCATGACCCTTTTGTTTTGGCATTCGCATGGCCTGAGGCCATATACAGTCAAAGTGCACATGCTTTGTGTTCAGAACCAAGGCTGCAGTGAAGTTGCACATACAACACAGGCAAGGTTTGTAACAGTAATGGTTCCGCTTCTAGGAGTCAAGATGGTGGAGTAAGAAGTAAGTCACTCTCATCCTCCTTTATTGACCTCTGAACGCCCAGAAAATATCGACCCAGGAAAAACCCTGAGCCAGCAAAAAGACAGAGCACAGCAGTCTTGTAGCCCAGGAAGCTTGGGAGTTTGACGGGAAAGGCCCCTCTTGCTCTGGGGGACTGGAAGCAGTATAGGATGGGAAGAGTTCCAGCAAGCCAGCAGCAAGCCCTGCCTCAGCATACTGGGGGAGATCCTGAGACCTAGGTTGGTGGAGCAGGCAAGTGCCAACACTAGGACCCAAGAGCCTCAATATAGGCAGGGGAACTGGGAGACACCAGCTTGGAAAACCACCACAGGTGATGGCATTCTTCAGCAGCCAAATCACCCAGTGCTTCAAAACAACTCTGGGAAGCACAACTCCAGGAGGCAAAACTCCAGGCTGACAGATATCCACCAGCAGCAAAACATCGCTGTGGAAGGCCCGGGTGAGCAGGAGCCAAGCATTCAAATGCAAGGCCCAGGTGAGCAGGAAAAGAAGCTTGGGTAAGTGCCCCCTTAGCTCCAGCAGAAGAACTCAACTTTTTTTTTTTAAGCTAGGAAATAGGCAAACACCATGCACAGAAAGCAGAAATGGAGAATGACCATAGATTCTTATTACGGGGAAAGGGAAGATCAAGGCACAAATTCAGAAGAGGATAACATTGTCAATATACTCACATCTGAAACCTCAAAGGGGAATATGAACTGGTCTCAAGTCCAAAAAGCCTTCTTAGAAGAGCTCAAAAAGGATTTTAAAAGTCAAATAAGAGAGGTAGAAGAAAAATTGGGAGAAGAAATGAGAGGTATGCAAGAGAGAGTCAATAGCTTGGAAAAGGAAGGTCAAAAATTAACTGTAGAAAACAAGTCCTTATAAAGTAGAATTGGCCAAATGGAAAAGGAGGCACAAAAACTCATTGAGGAGAAGAACTCCTTAAAAAGAAAAATGGGCCAAATGGAAAAGGAGGTACAAAATCTAATAGAAGAAGACAACTCCTTAAAAATTAGAATAGGGCAAGTGGAAGCTAATGACTCTATGAGACAGCAAGAATCAGTCAAATAGAAACAAAAGAACACAGGTGAGAGCTGCCAGAAACACCTTGGATTCATTAAGTGTTTGATTTTTGATTAATTTTTGGTCATTGCACGTTCAGAAACCTTTTAGTTTTACCAAATTTTTCACAACCCCATATGAGGTCGTGACTCAGTTTAAGAAGTGCTGCATTAGGAAACCTAGAGAAGCAGTTCACTCGTGGAATAAAATGTTGGCCTAGCTGATGGCTAGGGGGCAGCTAAGTGGCCCTGTGGATATAAATGTTGGGCCTGGAGTTAGGAAAACTCATCTTCTGAGTCCAAATATGACCTCAGACACTTACTAGCTGTGTGACCCTGAGCAAGCCACTTAACTCTGTTTGCCTCAGTTTTCTCATCTGTAAAATGAGCTGGAGAAGAAAATGGCAAACCACTCCAGTATCTTTGCCAAGAAATCCCCACATGGTGTCATGGAGACTTAGACACAACTGAAACAACTGAATAACAACCAGCTGATTTCTAAGATTCTTTTCCAACATTAATATTTTGTGATTGTCTAGAGCATGGCAAAGATTTTGTTCAGTGTTAGTCAATGAAAATAAACAATGCATTGTATCACACGTTAGTAATTTTAAGTTGGAAAATTATTTCTTTCAAGAAAAGAGAGCAAATAGTCTTTTTCTTTTCATAATCTAAAACCTGAAAAGGCTTCAGAAAGGATATTGTTAGTTCCTCTCCTTGATTCTGTGTGTGTGAGTGTGTGTGTGTGTGTGTGTGTGTGTGTGTGAGAGAGAGAGAGAGAGAGAGAGAGAGAGAGAGAGAGAGAGCAATTTGATTTACTAGGGGCCCCTTAGCTAAAGTAAGCACAGCCACCTCCAAATCATGGCACTTATATCTGATTGTATCATTACAGATACAGACCAATTCCAGAAGATCTTCTTCTTCAAGCATTTGAGGTATCTAATCACTAGAGTTTTAAAATTCAAGTCATTAGTCAACTTGAAATTGACTTCTAAAACTGAAAAGGTCATACTTTTCTCTTATTTCCCTGTAGGTGTTAGATGCAGCTAAAGAGGGATTTCTTACTAAAGAAGAGCTGATGAAGTATATGACTGAAGAAGGTAAAAATGATTTGCTACTTGTAAAAATCAATTTATATGAATATTAGTAATGCCAGTAATAATTAAGTACAACAAAAGCTTTATTTGTCATTTGGTAACAACAGTTGGTGACAGTTGATAGAAAAATTAGTATTAAGTAATTCATGTTTCTCTAAGGTGAGCTTTCTCATTGCTTCTCTTATTTGTTCTCCCAGGACCTACATAAGAAAGAAGGAACAATGATTTATGCACATCTACACGATGATTTTGCACATCATTATTTATTTAAACAGCCTGTGAGACAGAGAACCGTGGTTTTTCTCAAAATATTAGGAACAATAAATGCCAGCAAATAACTGTTAGAGGAGAATAGAAGTATCTAATTTCCATAGTCTGACAGTTGATAAAATAACAGATAAGTTTTTTATGTATTTACACTTACTTAAACATCTCTCTTTTTGTAGAAAATAGACAAAGATAAAAAAAATACCCGTGGCTCATAATTGCTTTGGGCAAGAAGTCGGTTAGGGACTGGACCTGTGATGTCACTGAATTGTGATGTCATTGATAGAGAGAACTCTCCTACCAATGCAAGTTGGTACCTTCTCTGCAAACTATAGTTTTAGATCAGGCCTGTACAACCTGCATTGTGCAGGCCTGTTTTAGATAGTTGTTTAGAACACTGAGAGAGTTAAGAAATTTGTCCAGTGTCATAGAAGTAGATGTCAGAAGTGAGACTTGAACTCAGGTCAATTTTCTGTCCACTGTGTTATGATGCGCCTTTTGAGCAAGAAGATACTTCCCTCCCTTCCTCTCCCCTCCTTCTCTCTGTCTCTATCTGTCTCTCTGTATCTCTATATGGATACGGATACATCTCTCTCTCTCTCTAATCTACATGGTTATATTGAAATGGATATTCTCACATAGAGACAGAGACATACACACATACTCATATCCATAGCTATTTCTCTCTCCAGGTTGTCACAAAAGTCATCATTCAGTTGTGTGTGTGTGTGTGGGTGTGTGTGTGTGTTGGAAAGAGAGAGAGAGAGAAAGAGAGAGAGAGAACTCATTTACCTGGTTAATTATATCTCCCAAGGCTAATATTAAAATTAGTTTGTACTTCCCAAGTTTAAGTAGCCTGATAGACATTGTCCTGAGATAACTGTCAACCTAGTCATCTTCCATACAAAGTAAAAGCTTGGTCTCCATGCTTGGCTTAAAGGCATGTACTTGGAAAGATGTAAATTTAGCTTGTTGTCAGGTAGAAAGTCACTAAAAATTAAGAGTTTCCAAAAGTTGAATGGGATGCCTTATGATGTAATGGGTTCCCCCTCACTTGAGCTCTTTAAGCAAAGGTTAGATGACAACTTGTCAGGTACAACCATATAATTATTTGACTACTATTTTAAGTTCCTTAGGACTCAGGTCACATCCACTAAGATTCACATGGCAGTAGGTCTATTCTTTCACAGTCGGAAATAAGGCAGTTGTAGGAGCTCTGATATGAGTAACATATTTTTGTATATCTTTGTCTATTTTCTACAAAAATAGATAAGTTTAAATAAATGCAAATACATAAAGGAGGACATTGACCTCCATCTAGGTTTTAAGAGTCCTGATGTGGCTTAAATTGTCTCTGAATTCTTGGGAAAGAAAAAACGTTGTTAAGACAAACCTATCGAAACCCCTTTGAGTCATTCTAGAACTGAGAATGCAAGTCAAATCTGGAAGACACTGTTTGTATTGGAAGTGACTTCAACTGAGGGTAAATGAACTCAGGCCCATTTCACCAAATCCACTAGTGCTCAGGGGTACTCTGGACACATCCCTGTATTCTTGTCTCTGGTATTAGTATTGAATACCACTTTAATTAGTTCATGGTCTTGCCAGAATTCTTCCCAGGGCCACTTTCCATCTTGGTGAAACCAACTTCCAGATGGCTCACATCTATTATCTGAAGCCAACTAAAACCTACAGATTCTCCATTCAGCTTTTTTAGTTTAATTGTGCAACAGTCCACTGAGCCAAGCTGAGACAATGAGAGTCATTTTGAAATGGTTGTCATGTGGCATCTCTCACTGGTATTAGCTCATATGTCTAAGATGGCAGACTCTTATTAAGGCACATTCAGAGACAGAATGTTCACATCCAAAAGTCTCAAATATGGCCCCATCAACAAGATTTGCATAGAAGCCATGTGGTCTTCTATTCGTAGTCTTCTGAAACCTTACTTCTTAGATTCCATTTCCAGATGGGAGTTGCAATTTGATCTTTTGGCATTTTAGCAGCCTTGTTTAATGTAAGCTTATCTGGGAGTGATATCTTGATATCTTGCTTGTTGTTTCAGGTGAAATTATAAGCTCTGCAATTTCCTTAGACTATATTAGCTGATAAAGAAGACAGATCTGAATTCTAATAAGGAGAAAAGGGCAGAATAGAACCAGGCATAGAGGCATAGGTGACACACCAGGGAACACTTTATGCCACAGTGCCCTGTTGAAAAACTCTGACACATGAGAACAAATGAAGTAGAATTATCTGGGATCCTATAGGCAGTTAAGCTTGGCATTGGCAGACAGAGGAATGAAGAAAACCAAAGAATTGGAGATTAGATCATATATCTCTCACTCTATGATTCTATGAACTAAAATTGTTTTTTTTCCTTTCCTATTTTTTCCCAGGCGAGCCTTTTACACAGGAGGAAATGGAAGAAATGTTGTCTGCTGCACTTGATCCAGAAACAAACACAATTCAGTACAGAGACTATTTAGCAATGATGGTGATAGATGAAAATTAAAAGGTTTCATACATTTGATTATTTTCAGATTTTTAACTTATATTTCCTATTTCTGATTAATGGATATTAGTTTAGAAAAAAACTGGAAAAATGTTATATTTATAACTTAAAGCATTTATAGATATATGCAATTCTAAGAAATTTTTTAAGAAACACAAATGTCCTATGGACTTTTGCTATAAAATTTTAGTATTTTACCTGAGAAGGATTTGTTTCTTCTCTATGAAAGTATAGACCACCATTAAAATATTGTTGAATTAATTATGCGAAGACAATGGAGAATCACTGACTTGGCACAAGCCAAGCTATTCTGCCAGCTCTATGAGTGGCACAGAAGCCTATGATCTCCGATCAGTTAGTATGGGATGACAATTCCCAAAGAGATCATGGTGGGTGGGGGAAGTTGCAGTTCTCCCAGTGAGGTACAAACACCAAAGAGGGCTTACTTACCATGTTTCCTTTTTCATAAAGAAAAATTTCCATTTCTGACACACATCAGTAATGTTTCAATGTTTTCTTGTTTTCAGGTCATTTTAGGGCCATGATTGGCTAGATAAGATGGTAGAAGTAGGATCAGAACGGTCATCTTTCTTATTTCCTCGTAAGATTTGGAATATTACCTGTGAGATCTCGTGTGCTACCATTAAAAAACAAAACAAAACCAAAACTCTTTCATCTGCACTGGGATGATTATTATTATGATTTTGGACATAGGGAAAAAAGCTTCCTAGATCTTCCTTATGCCTCAATTTAGGGGTGTGATGCAAAATAGTGAAATTGCATAGCAACAGATTGCACTCCCAAGAGAGAATCCCCAAAGGTACTCCGTTATCTTTAACTAACTTTGGCCACTGCCAAGTGGAATGCCCTTGAATCATTTTCTTTTGAAGAGGTCATTTGTTTTAAGGAATCATAGCTTTCCCTTGAGAGGCTGTATATGAAAACTAGCCTAGATTCTAGGATAGCTGAAATGTCGAGGTCTTAACATTGGAAAGAAAAGGCTTCACCTTACCATAACTTACTTATACATATATACATGCATAGATAAGTTCTTTAGAAAGCATTATCAGTTTTTTTTTTACATTCATAGAGGAATCATGGCAGTTGTAATTACAAAAATCCCAAATTGTAAATCCATCCTTATATGCATTATAAAAAAGGGGGATAGGGGCTAAAAACTAGATATTATGAGATTCATTGTGGCAATCATAGGGTTTTTTGGGGGCGCTAATACCACCCCACAAAGATCCTTTGTAGAGACAGTGAGGTGGTGCAGTGGATAGAGCACTGAGCCTGAAGTCAGGAAGACCTGAGTTCAAATCTGGTCTCAGACACTTAACAACTACATGACTCTGGGCAAGTCATTTAACTGCTTTCTGCCTCAGTTTCCTCTTCTGTAAAATGAGGATAATAATAATACCTACCTCACAAGGTTATTGTGAGGACCAAATGAGATAATATATGTGTAAAGCACTTAGCTTGTTTCCTTCCTACCTTTAAGGGATTGCATTTCCCTAGAAACACTCTGTGGAGCTGCTTCACAGGCAATCCTTTCCCATCAGACCTGAACATTTCAAATAACTCATGGTAATAGTAGAGATCAAAGTCCAGGTCTTTTTCTAGAACATAACTTCAGTCCCTTGTTACTCTTCCTGAAGGGGACCACTTGGTCAGTCTTTGTCTCTTTTCAAGATACATGTTTCAGGAAATTCCCATTTTGTTTTTAAGAAGACTGGATTCCAGGAATCTTCAACTTAGGGGTTTCTCTCAGGACAACCCTTAGGGCTTACACTATGCAGGAAATTTTCCTTCCCTGGCTAGAAAGCTAGGTTCCAGGTTCATGCTACTTAGGAAATCCCCGTTCTAGGGCTACAAGACCAGATTAAAAGACTCTTCAATTTGGGGTTAACTATGACCCAAGACTAGCATTGAATGGAAACTCTCCGCAGGCCACATGGGGCAAGCACATACAGCTTGCCTGTTGCTTCTGTTGAAATGTAGTCATCAGAAGCTCCTGGGCAGGGGTAGAGGGTCACCCCCTCAACATACCCTTGCTGGGATCTTGGAAAGAAAGATAGAAGGAAATGGGTGAAAAAGAATGCTATTATGTGAAGATGATTCCTTTTTTACACTAGCAAAAAAGGGTGGTTCTTCTGACAAGCCTGTCCTCCATAGTCTAAACCAAACACATCATATCACCCATATCAGTGAAGCCCATCCTCCAGGAGGTACAAAGGTGTGGCTCCAAACCACCAGTTCATCTTGGAGACAGCCCCTATCACTGAACCGAAATAGGGAGATGTATTTTTTCCTCTCAGTTGAATAACAATGGGCATGTCCATTGTCTATAAGAAAAATAGTTTCAAAATTCTTGAACAAAGATTCGATACTCTAAAAGCCCAAGTTCATTCAAGTATTTGAATCAAGTATTTATTAACCTCCTCGTTGTGTCCCAAGCACTGAGCTAAGGTGCTGGGGATACAAGTACCAAGAAGGAAACAATCACTGCTCACAAGGAACTCACATCCCAACAAATACATATAAAAGATATGCAGCATAAATGCTAAGTGAATAAGTAAATATATGCATATGTTTGTATCACACACAAAGTAGTTAAATGCAAGGTAGTTTGGGAGGAAGGGCACTAGCAGCTAGAGGGATCAGGAAAGACTTCATGCAGAAGAAGGCATCCCAACTGCATCTTAAAGGATGGGAAGTTGACTGGGGAACTTGGATGCTCAGCCCTGTCCACTGGATGTCTGTTGGGGCAAATCTCCCTTCCTGGTAAGTTCATCAGATTGATCGAGGACCATCCTGGATCAACTCCATTCCCTCTTCTACCTCTACTATGTATTAGGTACTAGAAATAGAAAGACTCAAAGAAAAGCCTCTGTCTTCTAGGAGTTTAATTCTGCTAGTTGAATTCCAACATACACATAAATGAACTCAATACAAAGAAATCTGAGGGAAAGAATCAGGGAATGTTTCAAGGAGGAGGCTATACCTGAGCTGAACCAAGATTCTGAGATAGAGAGAACATTATAGCTATGAGGACTGGCCTGAGGGAGCATATTGGAGCAGGAGAGAGACTGTCAGGTTCAGACAGTCCAGTTCAGGGGTGGGGAATCTGCTACCTCGAGGCCACAAGTGGCCCTCTAGGTCCTCAAGTGAAGCCTTTTGACTGAATCCAAACTCTAGGTCCTGAATCCAAGTTTGGATTCAGTCAAAGGGCCGCACTAGAGGATCTAGAGGGCCACATGTGGCTTGGAAGCCTCAGGTTCCCCACCCTGGTCCAGCTTATCTGGAATTGGGAGTTTGTGAGGGGAATTAGTGTGAAGTAAGCTAGGAAAGGTGGGTTGGAGCCAGATTGTAGAGGGCTTTAAATGGCAGGCTGAGAAGTTTATATTTGTCTTTGATCAAGGAAGCAATGTGGTCATCAAAATGGAGGCTCCCAGAGTTGGAAGGGGCGTTAGGCCTTCCAGTCAGACTTGTACTTGAATAACAATCCCCTCTATAATGTACTTGAAAATAAGCAGTCAAATCTTTGCTTGAAGATGTTTGGTGAGAGGGAAGTTATTTCTTTCTTTCTTTCTTTTTTTTAGGCAATTGGGGTTAAGTGACTTGTCCAGGGTCACACAGCTAGTAGGTGTCAAGCGTTTGGTCTGAGGCCAGATTTGAATTCAGGTCCTCCTGACTTCAGGGCCGGTGCTCTATCCACTGCACCACCTAGCTGCCCCTAAGAGGGAAGTTATTTCTGAAGGCAGCCTCTTCCACTTTGGGGTGGCTCTCATTGTTGGGAGGTTTTCCCTTACATCTGGGCCCAATCTGGTTCTCTGAAGCTTGCACTCAAGCTACCTTGTGGGACCCAGAAGAACAAATCCCAGGGGCAGCTCGGAGTATTTGAAAGAGCACTGGTTTTGTATTCAAAGAACGTGGGTTCAGATCTCACCATGCCACTTACTATCTATCTGGCTTTAAGCAAATTACAATTTTTTTGGGTTTCAGTGTCCTTATCTGTAAAATGAGCTGATTGTACCTAGTGATCTCTAAGACCCCCTTGCTCCTCTAAATAAATGATCTTATGAAGTCAGTCATTATTAAGCACCTACTATGTGCCAGGCACTGTACTAAACACTAGGGAAATGAATGCAAAAAAGAGTCCCTGCTCTGAAGGAGCTCATAGTCTAATGCCCCCTTCCACATGGTTTGCCATTTAGATACCTGGACACAATTACCATGTTCTCCCTAAACATGTTCTTTCAACCTTCTCATCTTCAGTCTAAACATCTCTAGTTCTTTTGACCCATTCTCATATGGCTTGACTTTGAGGCATTTAATCATTTTGCTTATCTTTCTCTGGACTCTCTCCTGCTTCTTAATGTCCCAATTAAATTCCAGCATCCAAAACTGAACATAGTGTTCTAAATGCAGCCTGACTGAGGACCGTGAAGAGTAGGATGACAATTGCCTCATTCCTAGACACTATTGTGGTGTGGTGGATAGAGTGCTGGCCCAGGAGTCGAGAAGCCCCAAGTTCAAATCCAACCTCAGACACTTACTGGTTGTGTGACCCTGGGCAAGTCACTGAATCTCTGCCTGACTCAACTATAAAATGGAGATCATAACAGACATCTACCTCCCAGGGTGGTTGTGAGGATCAAATGAGGTGCAACTGCCTCTTTGACATTCTCTGATTCCCTAATCTTGGCCAGTTGTTAGGGCTTTCTCCTCCAATTTCTTTGTATTAAGCTCATTTATGTGTGTATTGTATCTCAACTGTTGTGAAGATCAATATTTATAAAGCTCTTGGTAGAGAGCCTACCACATTGTTGTTGTTGTTGTTCGGTTGGGTCTGTCTCTTCATCATTGCATTTGGGGTTTTCTTGGCAAAGACACTGCAGTGGTTTGCCATTTCCTTCTCCAGCTTGTTTTGCAGATGAGGAAACTGAGGCAAACAGGGTTAAGTGGCTTGCCCAAGGTCGTGCAACTAGTGAATGTCTAAGGCCAGATTAGAACTCAAGGAAGATAGTCTTTCTGACTCCAAGCCCAGTACTCTTAACTGCTTAGCCACTTAGCTGCCTAGAGCATAGTAGATGCTTAATAAAAGCTTGCCTTTTCCTCCCTCCCCCCATATTGTAGCCTAAGAGTATATTAGTTCTTTTGGCTATCATATTACATTTTTTTTGTTTTGTTTTTTGTTTTGGCTAGGCAATGGGGTTAAGTGACTTGCCTAGGGTCACACAGCTAGTAAGTGTCAAATGTCTGAGGTCAGATTTGAACTCAGGTCCTCCTGACTCCAGGGCCAGTGCTCTATCCATTATGCCACCTAGCTGCCCCACAATATTACATTGTTGACTCATATTGAGCTTTCTCAGTCCGTAAAAACGCCCCAAGTTTTTGTTCAGATGAACAAAGTCAAGCCTCCCATATCATGTACTTATGAAGCTGATTTTGTTTAAACCCAAGTATAATGCTTTGCTTTTGTTCAATTTCATCTTACTTGATTCTACTCCAAACCCTAGACTGTCAAGATCTTTTGGGATAGTGACTTTTGACATTTTAGCTTGAATATTTTGGCTTTTAATGCATTAGTGATTCTTCCTAGCTTTGTGTCATTTGCAGATTAGCTAAGCATGACATCTCTGCTTTTTTTCTG